ACTGTGGGCGGATTTTGTTTACCCGGCGGCCATTTTGGAACCGCTGATCAGCTGTTTTCTAAACATCGCAATGCGAAAATCGGTAAGTGAAACGCTTACCGATCATCGCAATGCGATGTTTTGCCACTTAAAACATCGCAATGTGATTGCTTTTGCGATTGCAAAATCCACATCGCTATGCGGATTCGTCGTTAAACAGGACACTCGTTAAACGAGGCACCACTGTATCTCTTTGATATTAACATCTGATACAGTCCAGATGAACTTTAAAAGCTGGATCTTTGTTTATAATAAATGGGATAGATATATTAGGGTGATGATTGCAGAAGTCTGTCTTAAAAGAAGGGGGAGGGATCTTAAATGTATAGAAACATTTAGATGGGCAATCTTCACAAATGCCTCCGATAATGCTAGCTGGAACATATGAGTAGTGAAGAAGTAAGATAACACATACATCTTAAATGCTCTCCATCTCACAAAATCCCCTCTGCAAGTAAAACAACAAGAGTAATTCTCCACAGCACTGACAGTCAACATATTCTGCATTGTACTAATCAGGGGAAGTGGGGATATGAGCTCATGATCAGTAAACAGCAGGTGAATCTGTGCGACACCACAAGTCAGAAACCATGGCTTCTTTGAACATCCACTGTAAACCAGGATTCCTGCGGATACATGGCTTACTGTGTCATGCAATCTGGGCCACTAAACAGACCAAACAAGAGCTTGAATCATTTCAGAAAGCCATCTGCTTTAATTTGTGTTGTTCCAGAACTATGGTGGCCAAATATCTTCAAGTTGTTGATATAACATAATAATACAGCTGAAACAGTCAGTGACAGTTTGCATTTAGTCTATTAACCTTGGAAGATGGAAGCAATTCAGTGAGAAAGACCCATTTAAGAGAAATACCCCAAGCTTCTGGTGCTTGCACCACTTATGACACTCACGTTGCTGGTTGGCCACTCATGTTTTTGCAAATAAAGTAGGCTCATTAAAATAAAACACATGAATGGATAGCAATGAGAAATTAAGAGAGTATCCTCATGCTGGCTGGCATTTTAGGAGGAGAGACATAACCCTGGATGATCATCTGGGACTATTAACATATATAAAAATAAATGTCAGGCTGACCTCAGATTCTTCTTCAATCTTCTGCCCTTCTACTTGTAGGAGATCCAACAGTGTGCTAGGCTGCATAGTCGCAGAGAATTTCTCTGGAGGGGAGAATAAGAAAAAAAAAGTTAAAGTATGCAAGGACTTCTCTATCTAAGTCATGATACCAGCTTCTGATTCTACAAAAGTTATGCTCATGCAGGCTGCCACCTTCCAGGACAAGAGACCCTTCTTCTTTAAGAACACTACCATGGAAAATCAAAACTTGACTGAGGAGGGTGACCAGAAGATGACCAAGAAAAATTGAAAGCTCTGTCACTCTTATACGAGCTCCACATCTGCACATGGCTTTTCATGGTTATACAGGCACACATCATTGACACTTTTACGCTGCTGCTAGAAGGCTCAGAACAAACAAGTACGTAGATTCTCATGAATCAACTTTTCTGCTTGATTACCATTCACAGATACACTGGGAGGAAAGGGGGAAGGATGCTAAGGCTAGCTAACCATCTCTAGAGCAAAAGATCCAAATTCGTTTTTCACACTCACCCATGACACAACAATTGAGAGGAGATTTTCATCAGAGAAATGTTTTGGCAGTCTTCCCTGTTCTCCCACACCTCTGGACAGGGAAGACAATTCAGAAACTTTACCTAATTTTGCTTTCTGCTCCTGGCATCGCTCCATAAGCTTTTGCAGATCCTGATATCTGTCTGAAAGCTTTGCACGTCCTGTTTCTAGAGGCTCTTGGAACTTCAGGTTCCGTTCTGCCAAGCTCCGATTTGTGGCCAGAGCCATTTCCCTTTCCAGTTGTATGTCCTGGACCTGAAAAAGATGACCCACTGTTAGGGAGGAGGGGCTCCACTTATGTTCATCCCCAGCTCCATGTAAAAATGTAATGGATACCTCATTAGACTCAAGTGCCAACCGCTCGATTTCTTCTGCATTGTCTTGCAGTTTCTTCAGTTCATCTACTGTCATGTCTCTGAATGTCTCCATCTTTTGAGAAATTCATTAATTCTGGAATGAGAGAGATAACATGAGAAGTGATGAAAGCACTGAACGTTTGGAAAAAAAATAAGCATCAGAAAACAAATGGTTCATTCACATTCTATGTCAAAAATTTCCCACTGACTCATTCTTCCTGTTTCAGAATCGGGATCAATGTAAAATCATTTGTCTTTGGAACAACAGATTCAGCTAATTATTTTTTTGTACATCCTGTTCATTGAACCATATAAAATACACAAATGTTCATACAGTAGCTAGTTTGAATATTGCTAGTTTGACTATTAGGTTTTCAAAAACCTAAATAACACTTTATATCTCCTAAAAACCAGAATTCCAAATTACACTGTAATGGTTAAACCTGATTCAGAAAACATATCCATCAGGTCAGTATTATAACCTAAACTAGTTAGAGTTCAGTGAAAATAGAAATAAACCAACTGAAGTCTGCTTGCACAGACTAACCCAGCTACTTCTCTGACATATTTATAGTTCATACAGCCCTACTTTATGCTATGCTACAGCACTGCCTATACTCCAACCATGCTATCTATTAAAGAGCTAAAAGGCCAGTTCACAGGTATCAGTGGTCACTTGCTCCTGTCACCCAATCCTGCTTGATCATTATTCTTTTTCCATACTGAACATACTGTCTACTTGATCTTTTCCCCTCTTGGAGGAAACACAATCAGTATCCTTTTAAGTGCTGTCTCAATATCTTTCCCAATTGTGCTGTGTCTTCGTCATCTGCTGGGCCACCATAAAGTTCTTCTTCTCTCTTTTATCAGTGAAAATAATACAACAGTGGCTTCTCTGTATAAAAAGTATAAAAGCCACACAGACAAATTCTCCTGCTGTAGTCAGCCACTAACCCTCAGTTTCACCAAACTCTTTTAGGTCCAGCATAACGAGAACAATGTATGTTTTCAACATTTTGTCAGTTCTTCTGAACAGTTTCTCCTGCTTATTCTTCCTCCACAGCCGATCTCATGAAAGATATATGGCTAGACATTCATCCAGGAGATCTTTGATTCCTTCACTTACTACTTTCTTTGAAAGTAAGTTTAATTACAGTGATGGAGGGATGCTCAGACTGCAGCATTCAACAAGGTAAATTAATCCCCATAAATAGATTTTGTAGTAAAATTGCCTCTTTAAAAGGTACTTTTCCTCATGAGGTGAAATAAAGCTGTCAAATGTAGGTATACCCACACTGATTTCCCAATGAAAATGGTTGCTATGAAGGACAATTTTAAACAGAAACGATTGGAAACAAACTCACATATTCCTATCCTCCAGCACCACAAACTTAATGAGATACACCAATAGCAGATTTTTAATTTATTTATCATTAAGCAGAAGTCTAATCGTGATTTTCCAGTGATCACATACGGCATGGCCTTTATTTTGCAAATATTGTATCAAACAGGGTATGTCTCTTCCCCTTTTAAACCCAAATGCATAGACAGCCAAAGATAATATTCAGAGACAACTGGCAAATATTATAACCTCTTGCTATCTGCTACAGGCTCTTCTACCTCTGGTTCAAGCGAAGCATTTCACAGGCTTGGCACTGAGGATTCTGCATTAGTACCTGCAAAAGAAATTAAGTTAAAGTGCGTTTGCCTGCATGCGTTCCAAAACTGGACTTTGGAGGCCATCTACATGGCAGCAGTCAAAATGTGTTATCATGAAAACTGCAAAAACAATCTCCAATGATCCACAGCAAAGAACATAAGTATCTATGTAGGCAGCCACTGGACTACAGGTACAACTGCACTTCTCCCTTCAAAAACACTGGGGTTGGCGCGCTGGAGCCCTGTGTAGTTCAAAATCCGTGTATAGTTCTGACCTCCCCCAAATGGAACTACAAAGTATAAACAGTTGATTCACTCACACACAGATTATCTGTACCTATATTATCTGTAGGTACTGCTGTGACCGTTCCCAACTCAACCATTGCCATCTAACCAAGGCCCAAGGCACCAAAACAAAGGAGCTTCAGTAAGTGCAAGACCCTCCTTTCTCAGGCCAATTTCTGGAAAGAAATAGCAGCATGGTACTGTACTTATTGAATATTTATTTACTGGAAAAACTCATGTATAACCAAAACCCTGCTGTTCAAACCCATGTAATTTAAGAGCAAAGTGTGTTAAAATTGTTGGCCCTTGTCCAGTAGATAATGGACTGGATGCAGGCCAACAAACTGAAACTGAAACTAGATAAGACAGAGATTCTACTGTCTGGAGGATCATCAGAGAGGTTAGATGGACATTTACCTGGCCTTAATAGGGTTACACTTTCCCTAAAGGATCAGCTTTGCAACTTGGTGGCATTCTTGGACGCAGCTCTCTCTATGGTGGCACAGATATCTGCTGTAATGAAGAGTGCCTTTTATAAATTTTGGTTAATTGTCCAGCTGCACCCCTACCTGGATAACTAATGACTAACAACCCTGGTTAATGCACTGGTAATCTCCAGAATAGACTACTGTAATGCTCTCTATGTAGGGCTGCCCTTGAAGTCAGTATGGAAACTTCAGTAGGTCCAAAATGAAATGGCCAGGCTGATTACAAGTGCCAATAGATATGAAGGTGTGCCAAGACATATACTCAGACTTGGCACACTTTCATTCACCCCCTGTTAGTTTCCATGCTCAGCTTAAGGTGCTGGTCTTAACCTATAAAGTCCTTAACTGTTTAGGACTTCAATATCTGGTGGAATGTCTCTCCCACAAAATGCCACCTGTCCCACACATTTCTTGCATTCCTCTTGGCCCAAGATGTTCAAATGGCTTTCAACTTTTGTATTTTTATTTAAAGGTAACTTTTAGCTAGTGACAGGATTTATGATATTTTTTATATTTATTATATGTTAAAACTGCTGTATCCACGAGTTCAGCACCCATGGTTTCAGTTATCCACTGCCTGAAAATATTTAATAAAAAACCCAAGAAATATTTTCCAAGGTGTATTACCATAACTGGCCACTAGATGGAACAAGAGACTATGCTATATATGGGTTTGCATATACTGTACCCCGTTTTTAACATGTGGGAGCTTGAAACTGACCCCTGGTAGATACCATGGTCTTACTGTGCACCCTTTTAATTATTTTATTGTACATTGCAAACTGCCCAGAGAGTGGTGAAACTAATAGGGAGAGGGGGAAGGGAGGAGACGGGAAGGAAAAGGGGGGAGGGAGAGAAATAACTAACCTAAGGCCAAAATTAAGACAACTGTGGAAAAATATCTCATGATCTGCCACTAACCCAGTGGGAAGTGTGGGATCAAATGCTAATTGCAGACAGCAAAATGCTACCATCCAGAATGTGCTGAGGTAGGGTTACTGTTATGGAAACACCTACCTCTGGGTGACGCCTCTCGAGAAGGGCGAGGTGCAGGAGCAACAGGTGCCCAGACACCAAAAGGCAAACCAAGCAAAGGTGGCAGAAGGCAAGTTTAGCTTTGGATGTTTTGTGAGAGTTGTTACATCAGGAGAAGAAAGGTGCCGCCAACCAGCTGGCCATTTCCAGCTTTCCCCCTTTGATAATCTTTCAGTGGCAGTAAAATCAACAAAACGCTAAACGGGACGTCTCTTAATTTGTTGACATTCCACGAGCACCACCCGCAGCTAAGGAGAGCAAAGGATTTCTTTTGTCCTACATGCGTTCTGGGTGTCGCCCCAGGAGCTCTCCAGGATGATGACACAGAAATCATTCCGGACAAATGGAAAACTTCATTGCCTCCGCTTTAGATCGCCATACCCAGCTCTCGCTCTCTCTCTCCCCCTGCGATGTCGGGGGGGGGCGACCATTCCCACCGCCGGGGAGTCCCAACTTCGCTTCCAGATCGGCCAACGCCCCACGTCCCCGCTCGACGCCACCCCCGAGAACCACCTCACCCACATAAACTGTGAGGCGCCCATCGCCCGGGACCCGCGGGGTCTGAAGAAAGAGGCGCGGAAGCCTCTCAAGCAGTTACACTCTTTCCCACCCCCCACAACCGCCG